ACAGTGCACAGAAGTGCAATAGGTAAATATTTATTTATTTATTTGATTTATACCCCGCCTATCTGGCCTACCAGACCACTCTAGGCGGCTTCCAATATAAAATCAGATAATAAAAACATAGACAAATACATAATAATCAAACAGCAACAGCAGTAAAATAAAGAAAGAAAAGTAAGAGAGAAATCAAGAATTGGCTGGAGGGAAGGCCTGGATAAATAACCATGTTTTTAGTTGGGTTTAAAATATAAATACAATATATGCTTAGCATATCAGGCTCATTTCAAGCTTGATTTAGATTTAATCTAATAGTTTTGTCAAATACCTAAGAAAGCCAGGTTTATTTATAATCTGCTCACCAGAGTAATACTGCCTGCAAATCTTTCCTTACATAACAAGAATCAGGTCTTTACTTCATTCTTCCTATGCTAAAATCTAGGGTGTAGGTGTTGTTTTTTAACCTAAAGGGAGAAGGGCAAAAAGCAGCAGCAAAGCACAAAATGCTTTTTTAGCTAAGCCAAAGCTCCTCAACGAGAAGAGCAGCCATTTCAGACTAGTCACAGAAAAGACTATGAAGCCTTAAACACAGCATCTTGTCCTTGCCCTCTTCTTTTCCCCGTCTTTTTGCGATCATCCTGAGATGACCATTTATCACACTCAAGACTGCCCTCCTTTTAAAAAAGCACTGGAGAGATGGAGGAGGCTCGTTTCTGCTCATCAGCGAACCAAAGCCAAAATGGAAGACGAGGGGCACAAACCCAGCTACACCTCGACTCCTTCACGAGGATGCTCGGGGCTCGTCTTTTCGCCTCGTGGCCGGTGGCAGAAACTATGACGCACTTCCCTTGGTTTTTTTTTTCCACACTCGCCACATGGGCAAAGGCCCCCTCGCCATTGCTCTCGAGGCAACCCAGACATTCTAACCCCGTCCCCCCCTCCCACCATTTCTCAACCGCCGCTCCCCGCGCCAGCCATTTTGTGGTGTCCGGGCGACCCCCGCCGCGCGCCTCACAGCTCAAGAAGCGCGCGGGGTGCGACAGCAACGGGGTGCGACAGCAACGCCGCCCGTTTTTGCTCTGGCGCCCGCCACATACACACACCCCAGCCGAAAGCCTCTCCCGAGGCCAGACCCACCGCCACGGAGGCTGACAGGGGCGAACCCTTCAGGGCAGCAGCTTCTCGAGCCAGGCTGACCGCGGCCTCATTTGGCAGGCAGGTGGCCTCCGATGTGAAGGGAGAGGTTTTAGGAGAGGAAAGGCGCTCCGGCCGGCAGGTGGAAGACCCCCCCCTTTAACGCTGACGTTTTTTGAAACGTTTGAGTTCGGTGAAAGCCAACGAGTAAAACACCGAACATCGCGCTAAACCGCCAACGACGGGAAAATAGGGTTAGAAAACCGGGGGGGGACCTACCAAGAAAAAACTCCGACCTCACCCACCCTATATAGGAGACCCGTCCTGCCCCTGCCCCGCCTCCCTTGAGCTTTATTGGTTAACATTGAGGGAGTCTCTACTTCCCATTGGCACGAAGCTCATTATGCAATTAAGCGGGAGTTTCCAATCTAGAGGACTCCGCCCCCTGCCTCCCCCTGTTTTTGTCTTTGGGGCGGCACGTGGTGCCTGCTTATCTTGAACCCGCAGAGATTTTCTTTCACGCGTCTTGCACTCGGTTGGGTCTGAAAGTGTGCATACTTTTTTCAGTGCTTAAAAAGTAGAAGTTAAGGCCGTGCTTGCAATATTTCATGCTGAGGATTTTTCGGAAATCGGTACCCAAATTTATTTATTTATTTAAAATGTTTCTATCCCATTTTTCTCCCCAAAAGGACCCAAGGCGGTTTACATCGTTAAAAAGTCGAAAGCCTCCCTCCTTGTGTTTTACTATGCTGTATTCACTTTCTCGCCTCTCCTTCTCTGATTTAAAATGGCTGAAGTAGATAACCTGGTAAAAATACGCTAGAAGGAGAGAAAAAATGGCTCCCAAAGTGCTACTACCACAATTTATTTAGAATTAATATTGCAGCGGTGGAGTACACATTGCTGATGCCTTTGGGCTCTCTTGCATTAATTTTTGCATGAACAGCAGAGCCGATTTTAACTAAAATTGTAGAGTATATGGTTGTGCCATTGGTTAGCAAGGAGTTGGGCATCAGAGGTTTCAGCTATTGCTCAGAACAAATGGCCTTTTGAAATTACAGTACAGTATTCACATTTCTGGGGAGAAACTTTGGGAAGGATCATTCTATCAAATTTCTCCCTCAGGAGAAATCCCACCCTCCAATTTCTCAGAGATGGTACTCACCATTAGCAGTAGTTGTGAGATAGCTTTGTTCCTTTCATATTTTTTGTACAGTACTTGCCACTGCATGCGGCAGTAACACGCTGGCTGCGGTTTTGCATTCTCCATAATGCCCTCTGCTTGGTGTCGCTGCATAAGGCATAATGAGGGTGATGGTGAGCGAACAGCTGCCAAAAATGTACTGGAGAATGTTCAGAAATAATTTTGCAAAAATGGCCTTTAATTTCTAGGAGGGCACAGAAAATAAAAGTATATCTATCAGAACATTGTCTTCTGAGACATTTTGGCTCAGCACTTGCTGTCATTCTTTAGAGTTCAGTTCCTTCCCTTCCAAGTTTAATATTTTTGAGAGGTCATTATGTGGGCAGCTCATGGACCAAGCATGGAAGAGTAACACCCTGCCACCCATGTCATGTCCCATTTACTGGGCGTTTTGTTTCTACTGCAAATGAATAAAATGCAGCTCTTTACCGGTGAGCCCTGCAACATGTTATAAACCAAGGAAGTGTTCTGTTCAGCTTTAGAAAAAATATGAAGCTAGGGCTGTGCTGTAATTTGTCCTCATAAAAACTGAATTTATTCCTGGTATATAGTTACAGATCCAGCTTTTAAGGGACATTGGGAAAGTTGTTCTTGGGGAGGCATCTATTTAACTGAAGACAAAAATTAGGGCAAAGAGGAAAATGTATAGGCCACCTCCCATTAAAAATGGCATTGTACAATGGTACAGTAATTGAAATCCAGTGTAAGCAAATATAGACCTATGCTCATTGGGGCAAAAGACCAAGATTTTTAGGTTGCAGTGGATGATTATGATGGTGACAGCAGTGTGCCATCAAGTCAATTCTGATTTATGGTGACCTTTTTCAGGGTTTTCCAGGTAGAGAATACACAGAAGTAATTTATAATTCCCTCCTTCTGGGGACATTCCAGGAATGTGCAGCTTTTCTAAGGCTACTACTGTACTTGCAAGAGGCACAATGGGGAACTGAACTCCCAACATATCTAAATCACTGAGCTATCCAGCCAGAAGATAATAGTTCAGTCAATATGTTAAGCCACTCTCTTAGATTACTCAGTAAATACTGGTGATAGACCAGTATTTTGGCTTTAAATTTTATTTTCTTCTTTTATTATGCTTACCATTCTGTTTTACTGAAGTGATACTTCAATAAAAATACTTTACTGGACTCTTGACCTAGACTAGAATCATATTTACATCTTCAAGGACTAGTTTCTTTCTCCACTTTATGCTTGGATTATGTTTTTCTAAATAAGGGTGCAACTACATTTATAAACAATGTGGGAAATAACTGGGATCGGACAGTCTGATTCATATTATTTTTCCATTGACTGCATGACATATGAGGTGCTGCCAATGTGGATCAGCTCAGAGTTTTCGCTTCCAATTCATACTTTTTTACTTTGGCTGCTTTTTAAAGAATCCAATGCATTTACATTGGTTCAGGTGCTCTGATTGCTTGACCCAATGCAACAGGTGAACAGAAGCTCACTCTACCAGCTTTCTTGTTTAAGGTGGAGAGAGATGGAGCAAAGGGGCACTTGCAGGGGTATCAGTTCCCCTCAGCTGAGCACTCCATGTCTCCAAATCATTTTTCCCTCAAAGGCTTGGTGCCTAGAGCAGCTGGAATCCAAGGTGGGGAAAAATGAGTGAGGAGGAAATAAGTGGAGAGGATGACAATGGCAGTCAGCCTTGTTTGCAACTTGTTGATGTAGCTGTATGGTAGCAATACCTCCTGCAAATCTTGACAGCAGCTATAAAATCAATCTTAACAAGGTGTTCCGCTAAAGCAAATTTATCCAGGGAAACTCGACTTTCTGGGTGTGACTTCACAGCAGATCACTTTGCATTTTTTTTCTGCTGTATTGTCACAATAAAAGGGAAAGGAAGAAAACGGTCGGGTAATCCCTCGCTGATGAAGACTACTATTCCTGAATTATCATTTTATGAGTCAGCAGGAAACTAACTTGCTTTCTAATTTTTGGATATGTCACAAATTAGTAGAAAGGTCTGAGAAACAGAAGACATTGCCACCAAACTAAAATATTGGCCTTTAAAGGAACAGGAAGAGGAGTCAGAAAGATGGTGTCCCTTTCTCACAAGTGTCGACTTACAGGACAAGGGAGGAAGGGGAAGCAAAACAATATTTTCATTAGCAATGATCAGACGTCTTGGGTTGTGATTCTAAAAGTAAATCTTGAGGAGGGAGCTGAAGGGGAAAGAAACAGCTAAACCATTTTGAAGGTGGTTTCAGATATTTTTGCAACTTAAGCAAAAAGTCAAAGCTCTCTATCCCATTCTGGATTGTATTTTTCTTTAAATGACAAGAAGCAGTTGTTTTATGTTTTCTACCTTGAGACAACCGTATAGGTCTAATTATTGGCTTTCAATGGCAAATGCATGTTGCAAATGATTCTAGATTGGGCACTAAGATTTACATTCAGTTTACGCAGGCAAACCCAGTACGTTCAGCCTTGCTTAGGGTAAATCAGAAATTATGTTAGGCTTTTAAAGTAAAAGGTATAGTACTGGGAGTATTGAATGGAAGGAGAAAGAAAAGATCTGATGTAGTTTGTTAGAGCCTGATTTCTATTTTTCGGCTCAAGTACTTTATGCACAGAAAAAGGCATATTTGAAAGCAGCCCAAATATTGCAGATATTGGGAAAGATGTAATCCAAACCAACACATATGGACTTGTTACTTTTATTCTTCTTTTGAAAAGTGGTAAGGCTGCAAGCCTCACTGAGGATGTCATGAATTTGAAGTTCTTCCCCACTGCTTCTTAAATAAAAATTGTTTCAATACAACAGGATTCTAGAAGCACTTCCTGTGTACTATATTAGGCCCAACTTCAGCATATTCTTCCTTAGAAATCCACATCTCCTGGAAAGCAGAGAGAGAAGCAAGAATAGATCCCCCCATCCAAACAGAGATCTTCCTGTCAGGAGGTGCTTGTACCATAACTTCAGTGTCTTTGGGAGCCATGCGAGTGATCTCCTTAGTCAAGCGTTCAGCAATGCCAGGAAAGAGACTAGAGCCACCAGAAAGGAGTATGTTGGCATATAAAGTGGTTCTCAAGTCGATGTCACACTTCATGATGGTATTGAATAGGAGCTTATCAATTCCTGGGGCCTCCATCCCAATGTTAGAAGGGCGAAAGAGGGTCTCAGGGCAGCGAAACAATTGATTGTGGATTTTAATAATCTGCCCATCAGGCAATTTCCATGTTTTTTCTATTGCAGTAGGTTTTTTAGCCATCTCTTCCTCAGGGTTCAGGCAGACATAGCACAAGGCCTCTTTGATGATTCGCACAATTTCCCTCTCAGCCGTGCTTACTAATGCTATGCCACTTTCTCTCAGGATCCTCATGAGGTAGTCTGTAAGATCCCGGCCTGCTAGGTCAAGGCGGAGTACAGCATGAGGCAAACAGTAGCCTTCAAAGATTGGGACGGTGTGGGTAACGCCATCACCAGAATCCATCACACAACCCGTAGTGAGTCCTGCAGCATAAAGTGCCAGCACAGCTTGGATGGCCACGTAGAGAGCTGGTACTTCGAATTTTTCAAAGAGCAGGCGTGTCATTTGTTCCCGATTAGCCAGTGGGTTGAGTGGTGCTTCAGTTATCAGTGCTGGTCTTGTGCTAGAATTTAACCTCAGCTCATTTTCATAAACATGTTTCCATATTTTCTCCATGTCTGGCCAGGAAGTGACAATTCCGTGTTCCACTGGGTATCTGAAGGGCAGTAATGAGAATAAAACCAAAAAATGGCATTATATTATGACATTTGATATGCCCAATATCTTGGCTTCCCCACTTACAAATCCCATATTAATAAATAGTAAGTAAAAAGATCTAATAAACTTTTCCATTAAATCAGCAGTATCACGATGTGTATGTCCTAGACGCTGCAACTGCAAGTATGTGAGAACATTTTGCATTGAACAATAACTTTGAAAATATCACAAAGATCACATCTGTATGACAAATTTGCATTACTCAAAAACATTTTCTTCTCATGCACTTCAACCAAGAAATCTGGAATCTTTCCTTCTGTGTGGCACTGAAGTTTATCTTCTATATTCTCACAAACCTAGAATTTCTCATGACAGTTCAATCTATTTCATTTGAATCAATGTGCATCAATCTTTTTTTCTGAGGAGTAAATGCTAAGGTTTGGATAGGGCTCAGCTTTTTGCACCACTTTTAAAAATAAAGGATATAAAAATTAATCAAATTATATTCAGTTAATTTACTTCAATATAATGTGTCATGGATGAGGGTGGAAAGTTTGGTGTGAAAGTTAATGCACTGCAAACAGTAGAGAAATATTCCAGATAATCATCAGTCCATTAGACACAGAATTTGTGTCACTCCATGCCTACACACAACACTCTTTTTGCGTAATACATCCAGGAAAAAATTATACCTACATTGTAAACTGCAACACATTCCAAGTTTAGTGAATGCAATTAGTCTTTCTGGGGAAATCTATCAGGGGATGCAGGTGGATATGGGAATGTGGCAAGAGCCAGTAGTGAGGAGATTCAGAGCTATCCTCTGAGAATTAACAAAGGCTATATATTAAAAATTATCTTCTATTGAACAGCAAATAGAACTTGTAGAAGTTCCATTTAAAGCCTAAATGCTGTAGTGGAGGAGGAAAAGATGCTGTGTGCCAGAAAAGGCTGAATCTAGTCTGTACTGCAAGTTTTCCACCCTTGCATAGCCGGTCATTAAGATTCAACTGTTAGTCCAGTCACTTTCTGCATGTAGTGCATATACTGAACCTGTATGTACTTAACCTTTACTTTAAGTACGAAATGTTTCAGCTGGCCTTGAATGGTAAAAATGATAGCTTGTTCAAACAGTACTCATTTGGAGGATAAAAAGCATAGTTTCCAAGATGCTTCAGCTTGTGATGGTCCATGGGGCAACAGGAACGGTGTGAGCAATCTAGCATACCCAATTCTAGGTAAATTATGACAATGGCACCAAACCGAGCCTTATGAGTTTAAAGTGTTTGCAGAGTTCACAAGCATAATGTGAGCTGGCAAGGTTTTTTAAATAATGTGCCTAGCATTCTAAAGTGCACCGTGCCAACTTTTAAAAATTAATTTTCCATTCCTGTCTGAGCAAGAGACCATCTTTTTATTCTCTTTTTTTGTTCTGGATCTTAAAGAAAAGTTTCACAACTTGAAAACTCAACTACTGTGCTAATATTTTTATTTCCTTTAATGCATCAGTCCTAGAAAAAGCAATAACAATATACTGTAACTCTTAACTCACTGGATTGTGGCAAGTTAATAACTGGCCAGAATCGTTTTGATATTCGCATAAGATTTGCATAGCTTGTTGTGGCTAATTGCAGCTAATTGATAATATGCCAGGGCAGGTCTCTCTTGTGAAATTAGATATATGATCAGGAATGTAACCACAACAAAAGGTTTCTGACTATTGTTTCCCTGGTTGGATAAAACCAGTGCTATTAAAATCTTAATGTGAAGCATTTCTCAAAACAAGGTTAGAAAGACATGTGAAAATACTTATTTCCATTCTCAAATGCTATTATTTTAGTAATATTATTCAGCATCAGCATATCATTCCATAACAAACTTGGGAGGTGTATTAGGATGAAAGAGACTGGCCTAAGATCATCCAGGGATTATCAACTGATGGGGGAGAGAGGCTTTTCATCACCTGCAGTGTAATCCTAATTCAGTGCTTGCTCTAGTGAATTTGGAATGGGCAGAAGCCCCTTGTGATGGCTGACCTCAAAGACTATTATGCTGGCTAGGTTCTACCAGCAGAAGAGCCCAAAAGTGGTGGAAAAAGTTGGTCAACACCAGATCTGAACTTCTCCATCCCAGGGACACAGCTGCTACAGCTGCACCAGGTTCAGCCAAGATGGGGATAATAATAATAATTACATACGATCAAGTGAATTGCAACTTATAGCAACCCTTCTAGCTATAGAATTTCCAGAAGTGGTTTACCAGTCTTTTCTTCTAGGGGTGCATCTTGCTCAGGTTTCCACAGGCTGGCTATTTTCCCAGGAGACCCAGTGGGGAATTAAACTCCTAACCTCTGTCTCACAGCCAGCCAAGGGCAGGGGGAAGTCCCAAGTAATTTTCATCACCTCTGGGTTGGGAGAGGTTTGGATTCTGCACATCTTTGAAAGACCTAACATTAGCTCATCTGGGTGTCAGGCTTCTTGGATAGTAAAGATTGCAGCCTTAGTTTTCAGGCTTTGTATCTCCATTGACAATGGGACAAGTAAAATCGTGCTGCTTATATACTGCCCCATAGTGCTTCAAGCACTCTCTGGGCGGTTTACAAGTTAATTATGCAGGCTACACATTGCCCCCCCCCAAGTGAGCTGGGTACTCATTTTACCGACCTCAGAAGGATAGAAGGCTGAGTCAACCTTGAGCCGGCTACTTGGAATTGAACCCCATGTTCTACCTTAGGTGAAGGACAAGATCTTGCTTTACTGCCACCACTTTGTTTTCCATGTACAAAAGTTGACTGGACAGTTAAATCTTCATTATTGGCAATGGGACAGCATCTCCCACCAGCAACATCTAAGCAAAACAGCATAGCTCAGGACATGCAATGCAGTGCAGCTATATGGTACACACTGCTCTGTCTTAAAATATCCTTCTTCTGCCCAGAATTTAGGTTTCTTTTAAAAAAATAATTCATTCCTCTCATCTATTCTCTGAAATCCTGTTGCTTAGCATAGTCAATCATGGTAGAGGAAGCCCATTGAATCATTCAGATTCGGTGTGTCGACTCAGTGGGCCTACTCTTGTTGTGAATTACTTTAGGACAGTAAGTTGCAACCAGAGAAGGCTCATTTGAATCAACGGAACTTATAATAGAGATGACTTACCAACTCAATAGGATTTCAGCCACAAAGATTGAAATTGTTACTTATTTTAGAGTTTGTGTTTTTGCTGTTGTTGTTTTCATTGTTTTCCTTTTTAAAACCCTTAGGACTGATAAGTGAATGTCACAAAACTTGAAAAATCCTTGTGAAAATGCCTCCAAAAAGCCTTTTTAAAGTATAATTTAAAAGCATCTAGAAAACATTACTTATCACATAGCAATTTTGTTCCTGCTCATTACATTACTTTGGAAAGGTAATACGCTTATACCAATTTAGTAATGCAAATAAGTAACTTGTTACAGGTGACAGTATTACAAATCATTGGCCATATTATTGATCTCCATTTAAGGTTTGCATAACCAGCTGTGTGCTGAAGTGTATCTTAGTTGTGCAGTTGCAGGCATGACCAGGACACACCCCAGCACCTCATTAATTAGCCATTGCAAGTTATACAGACCCTATGTGAACACTAGCAGGATTCTGGCTGTTACTTCCAAACTGCTACTTCCTGATAGCTGCCTTGTTCTGCCTAACTGTAGGGTTGGCTCTGCCCAGACCACCTCCATTCCTCATAATTTTCAGGTTAGCCAACACTTATCAGTTCCCTGTGGTTCACATTCCCCAGGGTCTTCTGAGCACCTGAGGGAGAGGATCCCTCGTTTGGCTTGTGCTTCATCTCCAATGTAGAAGTCCTTCTGACCAGCACCTAGCATCACAGACTTGGCCTTGGGACGACCGATCAAGTTGGTGAAGATGACCCGTGGTTCTTTGTCGCCAGCCACACCAGCCTTGAGGAGACCTGAGCCATTATCTAATACCACGGCTGGTGGCAACTCGCCCATCCCTGGGTGATGGTTCTGCTCTTGCCTGTTTCTTGCTCAAGGCAGTTGACCTTCAGTGGGCCTGTCTTATATTACGGGGAAAGTAAGGCTAACAATCTCCCCAACCATGTGTTGCTACCTCTATTATGACTTACATGTTGCTATGATACCTTCTCACCAATATGTGCAAGAGTTTCAATACAGTACCTGTTTAAATGAGAAGTGATGAAAACCCATGCTGTATGCTTTCTATGCCTAAAGTATGCATGTCAACATTTGAAACTTCGTGTCCATAAGATGTTAAAAATGTTTAAAGGGCATGCAGGAAAAGTTACCCTGAAAATTAAAATATATTTAAAAATAGTTGGAAAATAGTTTACATTTTTAAACAATCAGCTGCTTTCCACTGAATTTTAAGGTCAATGATATGATAACACTGCTTAGAA